GGCCAGACCAAGGGGAGGCCAGGCTCTCGGGACACAGGACAAAGCTGACTGCCTCCTCCCAGAAGGTCAAGCACTCTGACTCCTTTTTTCAGAAAATGGGAGCTGGTGAAATTCAGGATTTTAAGTGATCCGTCTCTGATTTTGTTTATCAAATATTTTACCAGGGGATGAATGGGTTGCCAAGCTGGTCCCTAGACAGTGTAATTGAGGCAAATTGCATAAATATGCTGCATCAATATGGTTGCTTGAATCAAGCCTGGTTAAAAGTGTTCTTTGACTTTAAAATGAGCCAGCAACATGGCTGCAGACAGTTGTAACAGCCAGCAGGCTTTCTGCCTGTCCATCCCCTCCCGCCCATCCGCCGGGCTCTCTGCAGGCTCAGGACTGGCCCGTGCTCTTCAACATTGCCTGCACTTTAAAACCTCTCTGATGGCTCAGAGGCTAGAGAATCTGCCTGCAATGCAGGAGACCCAGGTTTGATCCCTGGGTGGGGAAGATCCCCTGGAGAAGGAAACGACATTGAAGCCCAGTTTTCCAAAACATTCCAATTCTGTTCATTCCAGGTGTTGCTTCTTCCCTCCACCTGCCCCTTAGAAGAGGCAACCCCATTCCATAGACGGCACAGCCCTCGAAGTTTTCATTTCCGTGGCTGCTCCCTGAGGTGGGCTGTTTAGCTGTCTTAAAGCCGGGCTATACTCTGGGGACTCAGACACTGTATAGCGACTCACACCCACATGGAGTCACAACTGCTTCTCTGTCTTGCCATCAAATATAGACCATTGAGACGTGGGTGGAGAGAGCCGCTGATGAGCAAGGAGCCGCCCTCTCAGGTGAGGTGCCAGTCAGGGCTTTTAAACAGGCTCCAGCCCTGGTGCTGGGCGCCTCAAAGAGAGCTGCCTGCCTCTGAGTCTGGCTCTTGGGGCTCCCAGGAGGCAGTGCTGAGCTACAGACGGAGCCCGCAGAGTCATCTGGACCCCTCTGTCCAACACGGGAACTGTCCCACTTGGTGCTTTTGGATCTGTGGTGGGAGGTTATGAGATCTGGTGGTGTTCATGACCTACTGGGCTTAGAGGACCAGAGCCCAACACCTAAACTGGGCTTCTGGTCAGACAGGCTGACGTTGGAAGTGGGCACCAGACATGCCACTCAATAGCTCCATGGCTACATCTCCCAGAGCCTGCTTCCTTACCAGAATATGGGGGATAGCATGGGACCACTGAATGCATCAACTGAATTAACTACAGTCTTTAAAGAGAGGGTGGTCCTTAGCCTTTGAAGGGTGGTGTAACAGGATGAAATCCTTCCTTCTCAAAATGTATATATTGAAGTCCTAACTATCAGTAATTCAGAATGTGATTCTATTTGGAGAAAGAGCCTTTAAAGGTATTTCGGATTTAGTTCGGTTCAGTTCAGTCGCTCAGTCGTGCCTGATTAAATGAGGTTAATTAGGGTGGGTCCCTATCCAATGCAACTGTTGTCCTTATAAGAAGAGATTAGGACACAGACATACACAGAAGGAAAAGACACACACGGGGAGAAGATGGCCATCTATTGGGCTGGCCAAAAAGTTGTTTTAGATTTTTCTGTTAGGTGTTACGAAAAAACCCAAATAAAATTTTTTGGCTAACCCAATACATGCCAAGGAGGAGAGACCTCAGAAAAAAACCAAACCTGTTGACACCTTACGTTTGGACTTTGAGCCTCTAGAGCTGTGAGAACATAATTTTCTGTTGTTTAAGCCACAATGTGGTGGCAGCCTGAGCAGACCAACAAAGGCAGGTTTGCCCACAGCTGGCTCTGCCCTCGGCCTAGAGAGCTGGCATTTTATTCCTTAACCTCTTCTGAAGGTGTTTCCACCTGTCACTAAGTTACCTGCTCAGAGGCCTCCCAGCTTTGTGACAGGTGCACAAACACCTCTGCTTTGGAAACAAGCATACAGGTATAGCCAAGTAAACGCCTGCTGGGCCTAACCCTCTTGCACATAAAGACTAAAAATTCTGCAAAATAAGAAAAAACTCTACCCAAATCTCTGACTGACGCCTGAACCACACATGTTTGTGGCAGACTCAGGCAGTTTAGCTAAAATAAAATATCTGCACTGTGATTTGAGCTGATGCTAAAGACACAAAGTTTGCAGTTTGCGTGCAATCATGTTAATTGCATACCAAGACAAACAAACAGAAAAATCAACATTCTCTGGAGGATTAGAATAGACTCCAGGATTTCTGCAACATAACAGTCCCAACACATGGTGTTCAGGATACAATCTAAAATCACTTGATATATATTAAAAAAATAAAACACACAGGAAGATGTGACCTGGTCTCAAGATAAAGTCAACCAACTGAGAATAATCCTGAGATGATCCCAAGATGTTGGAATTAGGAGATGACTGCTATTAAGTTACTCAATTAAGTAAAGAAAAATATGCTGTCAGTGAAAGAAGAGATAAGAAATCTCAACTAAGGAATAGAAATGTAAAAATCAGAACCACAAAGGAATTCTAGAACTGAAAAATTACAATATTTGAAATTAAAAATGGAGGAGATTGGCTTATCACCAGAATGGAGATAACAGACTAAAGAGTCAGTGAACTTCACTATAGATGAATATCAATGATCTAATCTGAAGAAGAGAGAGAAAACAGATGGAAAATAATGAAGGAATTATTATTGGAAACCTCTAGGACAGAATCAAAAGGTCTAACACATGAAATTTGAGTCCTAAGAGGAGACAAAACACGGACATGTAGGAGAAAAAGTATTTAAAGTTACAGTGGCCAAGAAATTTCCTAAATTAGGTGAAAGACATAAATTTGAGTTTCAGAAAGCTCAGTGAACCCCAAACAGGAAAAATACAAATAAAATCATGTCTAAACTGAAAACCAAAAGAAAGAGGAGATTGCTGAAGCAGCCAAAGAAAAACTATACACAGTTACCATCTGAACCACTAGGGAAGAAAAAACTACACGCATTGCATATGTGTATGTACATAAACTGTGGAAAATATGATTTGAGTGACTGCAGACTTCCCATTGGAAACTATGGAAGCCAGAGGGCAGTGGAATGACGTGTCTGATGCTGAAAGACAAACCCATCAACCTAGGAGTCTGCGACCAGGGACAGCGTCCTTCAAACAGGAAAACATTTTCAGATTAAACAATACCTGGAGAATTTGTCGCTACTTATGAGAAATACTAAAAGAAGTTCTTTAAGGGAAAAGATACCAGTTAGGAATTTGGATTTTAGGGCAGTAGCAAAGAATGTCAAAACTGGGAAATACATGGGTAAATGTAAATGAATTTTGAAATCTTCATTTCTCTAAAATATATGACTGTTTAAAGCAAAGAATTATAACATTGTCTTCTGCAGTTTATTATGTCTATGGATATAATACACATGACAACTATAGATTAAAGGTCTGGGGGCACATATGGACCTAGTAAGTTATAAGGTGTCTACATTTTACATAGGCTGGCACAGTATTAACTCTAACTAGACTGAAATTCAAGGAGGTATTGTGTATATTTTAATCCCTAAGCAATGACTAATAGTCTAAGGTACAGTGTTAGTTGCTCAGTTGCGTCTGACTCTCTGAGACCCCGTGGACTGCAGCCCGCCAGGCTCCTCTGTCCATGAGATTCTCCAGGCAAGAATACTGACGTGGGTTACCATTTCCTTCTCCAGGGGATCTTCCTGACCTCGGGATCAAATGCAGGTCTCCTGCATTGCAGGCAGGCTCTTTACCATCTGAGCCACCAGGGTAAGATACGGAGGTACAGGTGAAACACACAGATAATTGAAATAGATTTTTTTAAAAATATTCAAATAATCCAGAAGAAGGCAGAAAATGAGGAACAGAGGAACACAAAACAAAGGCAACAAAGAGAAAATAAGTAATAAACTAGTAGACTTAAATCCAACCACATCAAAAATTACATTAAATTTTAGTGAACTAATCATGCCAGTTTTTCCAGTGGTCATGTATGGATGTGAGAGTTGGACTGTGTAGAAAGCTGAGCACTGAAAAATTGATGCTTTTGAACTGTGGTGTTGGGGAAGACTCTTGAGAGTCCCTTGGACTGCAAGGAGATCCAACCAGTCCATCCTAAAGGAGATGAATCCTGGGTGTGTATTGGAAGGACTCATGCTAAAGCTGAAAGTCCAATACTTTGGCCACCTCATGTGAAGAGTTGACTCATTGGAAAAGACCCTGATGCTGGGAGGGATTGGGGGCAGGAGGAGAAGGGGACGACAGAGGATGAGATGGCAGGATGACATCACTGACTCGATGGGCATGAGTCTGGGTAAACTCTGGGAGTTGGTGATGGACAGGAAGGCCTGGCATGCTGCGATTCATGGGGTCACAAAGAGTCGGACATGAATGAGCGACTGAACTGACTGAATCATGCCAATTAAAAGCCAGGAGTTGTCAGAATGGACTTTAAAAAGCAAGACCCACACCTCATACTCACTAGGGTGCTATAGTCAAAAACCCAGAAAGTGACAGGTTGCAATGATGTGAAGAAATTAGAATCCTGTGCACCATTAGTGGGCAGCTGTTTACAATGAAAAACATTGTGATTACTCAAAACTTAAAAATAGAGTTACCATGTGATCCAGCAATTCCACTTCTGCATGTATACTGGAAAGGACACAAGTCAAGGGCGTGAACAGATACGTGTACTGTATTCACAGCAGCCAAATGAGGGCGACAGCCCGTCTGTCCATCGGCCCGTCTGTCCGTCGGTGGAGGAAGGGGGACACGGGACACGGTACGTTTGACGCGTACGTGGTACATTGCATATAAGGAAACACTCTTCAGCCTTAAAAAGAAAGGAAATCCTGACACAGCCTACAACACAGATGAACCTTGAAGACCTTATGCTGTTTCCCTTATAGCCCCGAGTACTGAGTGAGGGGCGTGCACACCCCTCCACCACGCTCAGAGCCCCGAGGGGCAGACACATTAGGCCGAGTCCTCTTCTCATGTGCCATTACCTGCCTTGGCTAAAGACAGGAAGGAAAGCCCCAGACTGAGGACTGGGGCTCTCCCGTTCACCCCATCCCTCTGTGTCCCAGGGCACAGCCCCCAGGAGATCCCTGGCCTGGGCAGGCCTGGCCACTGCTGCCCAGACCCTCTGGTCTCTGCTGTGGGCTGCACCCAGGATGCTGTCTGTGAGCCTGGGGCACTGGGGCCGAGCAAGCCGGCTGGAGGGCGAGCCTGGGAGCAGGGCCAGCTCCCGTGATGTTGCCGGGCATCTGTCCCCGATACATGGCCAGAGCTTGTCTCCCAGGGAGGGGGTTGCAGGGGTCAGCCCACCACTCTGCCTGACCTGGGGCACAGGGGTCAGAGCAGGAAAGCGGGCAGAGACACTACCTATGGACAGGCGGTGATCGGGGTGCAAGCTCTGAGTCCACGTGCCTGACGAGCCCAGAGTCCAGAGTTCTGGGGATGTTCCTCCTTCTCTCTTGTACAGCTGTCTTGAGTTCTATTTTGTGTGATGTTAGTGTAACCACGCCAGCTCTCTTTGCATCCTGGTTTCAGGGTAGGTCTATTTCCATCACTTTATGCTCTGCCCAAGTTTTCATATTTCAAGTAACTAAAGGAACCTATTTAAGATGACTGTTACAGCTGGGTCTTGCTATTTTAAATTTATTTTTAATTATGGGGAAATACACTTAACATCCTGGAAGAGGGCATGGCAACCCATTCCAGTATTCTTGCCTGGGGAATCCCATGGACAGAGGAACCTGGTGGGCTACGGTCCATGGGGTCACAAAGAGTCAGACACGACTGAGCTACTGAGCCCACACACACACTTAACATCAAAGTCCAGTGTCTTTGGTGTAATTTACTAGGCCTGAGTATATTCACATGACTGTGCAGTCAGTCTCCAAAACTGCTCATCTTGCAAAAGGAAAACTCTGTTCCCACGAATAAACCCCTCTTTCTCCATCGCCCTGCAGCACCCCCAGACTACCATTCCACGTTCATCTCACAACCCCAAGGGCTGTGAGTGTGGTGGACGATACGAAGGAACTGGCGGTGAGAGCCCGTGGCTCTCCCCTCACTCAGGGCTCCTTAGTCCTGTGAGCGGTCCGGATGCTGGGAGTTACCATGCCCCGCTGTTCTGTGTGGTCGGCCGATGTCACACGGGAACCTGCCTCCTGTGGCAGACGGCGGTGGTCTCCAGCGCATCTTGGGCCTGGAGTCCTTGCCACTGGCGCTTGTTCACACTCGGTGGTCTGGGGCTTCACGGGGCCGCCTTTACGGCCAGTGAGTGTCAGGTGTGGGCAAGTCCTCCCCTGGCCAGGAACATCGCTGGAGGAGGAGGTAAGCCTGGAGGACCCCAGCACGCAGTTCTGGCTCACTGGGGTCCCCTCCGTGCATCTGTGGGACCAGCAGGCCTGTTCCTCGTTGAGGCCCACAGGCAATGTTTCAGCTGCTGACTGCCGGTTCCCTGCTCCATTTTTGTATTTCTATGTGAGTGGGGAGGTCTTTATCACCTTAACAGAATGCTGAATTACCTGCTCCGCCTCCCACCAGCATCCAAACCTGAACGCTGGGAATGTTTGCACAAATCCTTGGGAGCTTGAGGGGGAAATATTTCAAATTAGGGGAACGTTCCAGTAATTGGGAGCATTTGGAATCCCCAGCCTCATCCACACAATCCTTTCCAAGTGCGTTTCCAAAGAGAGAGGAAAAACTTTCTCGTGAACATCCCTCGGAATTGTCTGACAGAGAATCCTCTGCAAGAGCGTGGGGGTGCCTCCCAGGCTTTGTGGGCAAAGGACTCGAAGCGCTCGGAGTCAGAACCCTCTGCTGTGAGCCAGGCAAGCAGCGTGAAGCCTGAGGAGCACTGCCAGCGCCCTGGACATGACACCTGTGACCTGTCCACATGGGGTCACGCCATCTTCGCCCCGGCAACCCCCCGTCAGGGCTGCAAACAGATTTTGTTCTCCCATGAGACCGTCGGGCACGACTTGAGCACCTGAGCCACGCGTGCTGGAGAGAGACAGCCTCGTTCTCACACCTGGGGAGGCGGGGGGCTTCCAAAAACGTCCACAGCGTCCCTCGACCTGTCGACATAGATTTTGAAACACTTATACCCATCTTGGAAGACGGCGGAAAATCAGCGAATCTATTTTAAAAACTGAATGTTAAGGGCAAATGAGATCAGGGAGGCCTGGGTGTTTGCTTGCGAGGGCAGCTGTCACAAAGGGCTGGAGGCTGGGGGCTTAAGCAAAATGAAGTGGGTCTTCTCACAGTGCAAGTGGCAGGAAGGCCAAGGTCAAGGTGGCGGCAGGGCCGGGGCCCCGAGGCCTCGCTCCCCGCCTCGTGGACGCCGCTTTCTCCTGCGTCCTCATGTGTCTCTTCTCTCTGTTCCCGTGTCTCTTCGCATAAGGACGCCAGTCCTGGTGGGTGACCCCATGACCTCCTGTAACCTCAGTCACCCCCTCAAAAGTCCCGGCTCCTGGCAGGGATGCCAGGGCCACCTTGGACAGGCCAGGCCTCCATCACCTGACCCAGCAAATGGGGATCAGAGCAGGAGAGATGAATCCACCCAGGCCACAAGAGTCTGCAGCACGGCTGACGTACGTCAAGCACGAGATCAACAGGAACAGTTCAGATCCCGGCTTTGCCAGCGAAGCCCCACCTGCTGTTTCCTTAAGTGTGTCCGAGGTTTGCTCCACCCATGAGTGGACTTGGCCACCCACTCAGGAGATGCCTCTCCGGCCAGGCGTGGAGGTGGCGGGGGCCAGGGTCACCACCAGGCGCTCAGCGGGCAAGGGATACAGATGTGGACTCGGGCGCTGACGTCCTCTGAGGCCGTCACTGAAGTGGCCTTGGCACAAGGCAAGGGGAATCCAGAGGAAGAAGCCTTCCTTAAAACAACAATCTCTTCTCTCTCCATCTGGAGGGCAGAAGTACCGGGGTGGTCAGGGCCGGGGCCCTCTGGACGCTGCACCGGTCCTTCCTGCCGCCCCTGTTTCTGCGGGTCACAGCTGCCTCCGCCATCACGCAGCCATCTCCCCTGTGTGTTCTGTCCTTTTGCGTGCCTGTCTTCTCCTTACAAAGACACGAGTCACTGGATTTGGAGCCCCCCAAATCCACTCTGGGTCCAGAATGACGCCATCTTAACCAATTACACCTGCAGAGATCTGTGTCTGAGCATCATCACCTCCAAGGTGCTGGGTAGATGTGAGACGTTTGGGAGACTCTGTTCAATTTGTGCAGAAGTTTGTTGTGAAGAGCAGCCCCCTTTGCCCCAGCGTGGGGGGGACTTTATTTCTCACTCCGCTGTTCACCCCTGAAATACCCCAAAGCTGCATGTGATATTAAGGAAGTCACATGTTTTCTGAAGGTGTTTCTTTTCTTGCTTCTTTCCCTAGGGACAGAAGGCAAGCAGGCGCTTTCTCCCCTGGGCAGGGGAGGTGAAACTGAGCCCGGGATGGCGGGCCCGCAGATCAGAAGGGAGTCTCCTGAGGCTGCGGGCCCCCAGCCATTCCTGGCCCCTTCTCGCCTCTTCATTTACTGTGCCTTCGACCACTCAGGTTAGATCGCGCTTATTTATCAAGACTTAATTGGACTCGTTTGTCTGCAAGTGGTTGGAATGAAATGGGAGCTGGGTAAGCAGCCAGGCGCTTATCGCAAGGACCTGGAGCTGTCTCTAAGAGCCACTTGGCCCTGGAAGAGCAAGAACGAGTCAGGCCTGGAAGCAACACCCACGGCCACCAGTGCCTCTGGTCCCTCCAGACGCCTCTCTGCGCCTGCACTTGGCTTCCTTCACCCTTGCTTCCCATCAGCCTTCCCCACATGACGGCCAACGGCCCCCGAGTGGGTCTACAGCGCTCATAGTCCAAAACCTCAGGGCAGAGACTCATCAACCAGGTCACCCGGCACCCCCCCACCCCAGCCTCCCTGTCATCGGAGGGCAGTTGAGGACAAGGAATTGCCCGTGGAAAGGTGAGGGGCTGGCAGGTAAATCTGGAAGGTCTGCTTCCTGCTCCTGTCACTGAGGGCTTGCTTGGCTCCGGGACAGCATTTGGGAGCCATCAGGTTAATGTTTGGGCTTTGCTGGTGGCTCAGGTGGTAAAGGATCTGCCTGCAGTGCGGGAGACCTGGGTTCAATCCCTGGGTTGGGAAGATCCCTTGGAGGAGGGCATGGCAATCCACTCCAGTACTCTTGCCTGGAGAATCCCAATGGACAGAGGAGCCTGATGGGCTACAGTCCATGTGGTCAGAGTTGGGCATGACTGAGTGACTAAGCATAGCACAGGTTAATGTTGGTCACCTGGAAATCCTTTCTGTGAGGCCCGGGCGAGTGCCTGGCGTGGATCCAAAGTCAGATGCTGAAGCCGTCTGGCCCACGTGGAGCCATGAGAGTTGCCTCGTGCTGGGTCCAGCAGGTCCTCCCAGGCCCTGCAGGCGTCCAGGACAGAGGCTGCAGTGAGACCTGTTCTGTAGACCCGGAAAGTCCGTGCCCTCGGAGGGCCATCCCCGCCTGACTGGCCAGCTTGGCCTGGACCAGTGCCACAGCCCTCCCTGCTCCCTGAACTGGGGGTTCCTGGACCACCAGAGACGATGCCCTCTCATGAAGTCAACCTCACGTCCCCACGCACTCTTCAAAGGCAGCAGAACCCAGCTGTTGACCTCCTGGAAGAGAAGGGGAGACGGGGAGAGCGGGGGACGAGAGGTGATGCTGAGATCTCAGGAAAAGCATGGATGGGGAGGGGGCGGGCCCGTGCAGGCCGAGGGGTGAGCAGAAAGGGGAAGGAACTGCCCCAGAGGAGGGCCGCCCGGGGCCTCTGTGCGCGGAGCCCGAAATGGCAGAGCTTCAGCTGGGATTTTGATGACCTAGCTTTCCTGGTAGCTCAGCTGGGAAAGAATCCGCCTGCAATGCAGGAGACCCTGGTTTGATTCCTGGGTTGGGATGATCCTCTGGAGAAGGGACAGGCTACCCACTCCAGTATTCTGGCCTGGAGAATTCCATAGACTATACATACAGTCGCAAAGAGTCAGACATGACGGGGTGACTTTCACTTTCACTCACTAGGCCAACAGTAAACGAGGGTTTGTTGGCTCGAGCTGGAGAGTCAGACGTGCTGGGTTCAGGCCCGGAATGATCCACATCAGGGGTTGGCAAACTCTAGCCCTTGGGACAAGTCTGTTCTTGTAAATGCGTTGTCACCAGAGCACGACTGAAGACACGCAGGTGTCCTCCGTGTCTACTTTCTGCTTCCACACGACAGAGGCTGGGCTAAGGAGTTGTGCCAAAGACCGTCGAATGGCAGAATCTAAAACACGTGTCACTCGGCCCTTTCCCTGACAGCTTTGCTCACCCCAGCTCCAGAGCTGTGCCCTCCAATGGGGTGACACTGGAAAGGTGTCTTATCTGAATGAAGATGGGCTGTAAGTATCAGCCACGCACCAGATCCACCCACTCAGTATTAAGACAAGAGTGTAAAATAGCTCATTGAGAATTTTTGCATACATTTGCATATTAAGGTGGCATATTTTAATATGTTGGGTTAAATGAAATATAGTATCAAAAATAATTTCACCTGCTTCTTTTTATACTTTTCGTGTGGCTACTGGGGAATTTTCAGCTGTGCCTGTGGCTCTTGTTGCGTTCTTTCCCCCTAATGTTTATTTACTCATTTTGGCTGCCCCAGACCTGAGTTGGGGCACACAGGATCTTTCAGTTGTGGCGCTCAAACTCTTAGCTATAACATGTGGGATCCAGCTCCCTGACCGGGGGTCCAGCTGGGGCTCTGCACGGGGAGCATGGCGTCTTAGTCACCGGGCCACCAGGGACGTGCCTACTCCGGTTGTGTGGGTTGTGTTTTTATCAGATGGCACTGGTTCAGACTCCACACCTCTCTCCCACCTCCCAGGGGGTTTTCCCATGTGCGGCGGAGGAGAGGGCTGCCAGCGTCATCTTCTCAAATCGCAGACGGCAGTGGGCCGGGAGGTCAGTGCAGTGGGTCACCGCCAGAAGCTTCAGACAATGAAGCAGAATAAAACAGAAGATGTCCAGCAGTGAGTCACACACTAAAGGTACTGGTTTGCAAGACCTTTGTTAGTTAAGCATCTTTCCGCTCATCAGTCTGAGTGCTAGAAGTTGTATGATGTATCTTCTGGGGATGGGCTCCAGGACGTCTGTACGTACCTGATCCAAGGATGCTCACAGCCCTTATATACAATGGAATCCTACTTCCAATTGATTCGATATACAGATCCCAAACCCATGGGTCTAGAGGGCTCTACGATGATTTTATGAACAACTGAGAAAGAAAACGCACGACTAAACTGTGATGAAAGGCATTAACGACAGACGTTTGCAAACCCAGCGTCAGTCCCAACAGCTTCTGGTGCTTTGAGTTCCTCATCGACTCCGAGGCCTTGGCCATTTCTCCTGCCTTGGGCTGCATTGCTGGGAGGGGTACAGTCGGTCCTTCAGCACCTGTCCCGGTCACCAAACACGACCCAGACTGGTCTCCTCGTGGGCCTCTTGCCTCCTTCAGGTTCCTAAAGTGCTGGGTAGTTGTTTTGCAAAAGAAACATGGGACCTCCCCGTCATTCTTCCAACGATGAGTATTTGCTTTGCTAATACTGTAATTCTGGATTCAGTACTGAATTTGAATCAGCAGCCCTGCTTGGGTACTTTTCTGCATACTCAAAGTCCTTTCATCCCAATGGTGAATCACTATTAAGAAGAAGGAAATTCACCCCACAAAGAGGGACAACTCGAGTGAGGAGGGTGCCAGGCAGCATTTCACTGTGAGACCGTGCCTTTGATTGTAAGACAGTGCATGTCAGAGATGCTACAGTGTGAAAGTGCATCTTAGAATAGAGAGTATGTGGCTCAGATGGTAAATAATCCACCAGCAATGTGGGAGATCTGGGTTCGATCCCTGAGCTGGGAAGATCCCCTGGAGGAGGGCATGGCAACCCACTCCAGTATTCTTGCCTGGAGAATCCCCGTAGACAGAGGAGCCTGGAGGGCTACAGCCCACAGGGTTGCAAGGAGTCGGGCACGAGTGAGCGACCACGCAGAGCACACACAGAAGCATCAATATGTGAGGATGGGCCCAGCATAAAACACGTTTCCTGCTGGGCATTGTGTTGAAAAGGTGTCGAGTATTGTGTTCACATTTAACGCAGAAAGTGGGGCGGGGCCCACACTCGTGAGTCCTCTCGCAGGCCATGTGTGACGTCCACTTGTTCTTTCAATGGTCCAGGAGGCTTCTGCAGCAGGTAGCACGTGCAGGTTGCCCCGAGGAGCAGAGGGCAGCATCGGGACGGGACAGGAGAAGCCCGAGTGCAGCAGCGGCCTCTGAACGTCCTGGAGGCATGGGGGTGGGGCGGGCGACATCGCTTAAGATGCCCCATGGCCAGGTGACATCATTTCCAGGGGGACGCCCGGGTGTGAGCGATGCTGTGCAGAGCCAGCAGTGAGCACCTGATGGGTCAGCTAACTAACCAACCCGCCAGTTAACTAGCCCTGCGTGCTGGCTGCCCCCACCACCCAGCCCCGAGCTCCCTGTGGTCAGCGAAGGCCCCACGGAGACAGCCCTGAGTATCCATGCACCTGAATCGAGGCCTCCGAGACTGACCAGCCCCCGAGTCCTCTTTCCTTTGTTGTCCTTTTGGGGTGCATCTCCCAATGGCCCAGGATGTTGGGGGCCCAGCTGCCTGCAGGTCCTCTCTGCACAGAGGTCTGGCCAGTGGTCCACCCTGCCTTGCCCACGCTGCAGGAGCCGCCGGCGTATCCGGCATGGAGACCCTGGGTCTCCTGCGGTGGCGAAGCCTGAGGGATCTTAGAACTGAGCTGGCACTTTCTCTGCGGCGGGGGCACAAAGTGGCCCGAGCCTCATTTCCCATCATCCCGGGAGACGGCGTCCGGTCCCCCGACCCCATCATCCTCCCTGTGTGCCCGCTGCCCCGACGCTTTGACTTCCAGAAGAGGCGGCCCAGTTCTGACAAACCTATGGTGGTGAGCAGAGAGCACACAGCTTTGCAATGAGGTTGGAGAGTTTGGGGCAACAGATTTAATCAATTTTGTATTAAGATATAACTCAGCTGCTCTCATTGCATTTCATAGTGCTATTTAGAACAGATGTTAAATACTTAATGATGAATATTTAGATATGGCGATGCATTTGACACCTACCGTTAAAGACGAGGGCTTCCCACGCAGGAATGTCCTCCTGAAGCAGGGGTTTCGAGGCTTCCGCAGTGAACTCTCCAGTGGGCCAGGGGGATGAAGATCTCAAAGATTCCTCTGCAGAGGGCTCCCGGGGGCCCAACTGACCACCCAGGCTGCTCCTGCCCAGCACCCCACCTCGTTCAGATGAAGAGTCGGCGGGTTTTCCTGACTGGCAGAGATTGTCCTAGAAAGGCACCCTGCCCCTCGCAGACTGATTGGGGGATGTCAAAACAAAGTGTGAACTCGGAGAGTCTCCTATGTATTATGATGTTCTATGCTCCGTGGAACACTGCAGTGCACTTGTTATGGTTTATTTCATAAGTAGATGCACCTTAAGAACAATTTATTCCTATATTAATACCTCTTAAGGGAGACATCATCAGCCTGACTAGAAAACATGATTATGGTAAAGTCCTGGGGAAAACCTGGCAAAGCGAGGCATCAAAATCAATAAAGAAGCAAAGCTACACACGGCACATTCGTGGAAGGGCTTGAGGGGTCGCCCTGCCGTGCCACTCAGTCTGCTCGTGGGGCGCCCAGCCCAGCACCCCCACGCCCCCCGATGCTCCCTGATGCCCCCGATGCCCCCTGTGCCCCATGCCCCCTGATGCCCCCCATGCCCCCTTATGCCCTCAGATGCCCCCTGCGCCCCCTGATGCCCCCTGTCCCCCCACGCCCCCCAATGCTCCCAGATGCCCCCTGCCCCCTGATGCCCCCAGCAACCCCCATGCCCCCCGATGCTCCCTGATGCCCCCGATGCCCCCTGTCCCCCATCCCCCCTGATGCCCCCCGATGACCCCATGCCCCCCTCGCCCCCGATGCCCGTCTACAGCGCATGGTAACCGAAGGCGGCTGAGGGCCCAGGCACGTGTGGGGACTGACGCCACCTTCCCCCCTGGCCTCAGCGGGGATCCTGCGAGACGGGGCAGAGAGCCTCACACAGCCCGGCTGACCTGCCTGGCTTGCCTCAGGGAAGGGGGCAGGAGGGGTTGGAACCCACCCTCTGCCTGGAAAGGGTCTCGTCTGCACCTCTCATTGCTGGAGGCTGGACCCAGCGACCCACTTTCCAGCTGCGTGGCCTCAGATGAACATCTGAAGCCCTCCATGCCTCGGTTTCCTCATCCATGAACCCAGACGACCTGCAGCGCCCTGTGGGGAGGGTTGAGGGGGTTCATCACAGAGACACGCCCCGAGGGGCACCTGCACGGGACAAGCACCCTGTGGGGAAGCTGCCAGCCTCAGCCGGGGACAGCCGTTCCGTCTCTGGGCCGCAGAGTCCTCATCTGCACAGGAGTGATCGTAATACCAGCGTTGTCAGCAGACACTTAGGCCTGAGCTGCCTGGCACGGCCAGCCTGTGGCTGACACCGCGTGGGGAGCAGGGCTCACCTTGTCTCGGCTCCCGAGACGGAGCCCCAGCCCACATGGGCTCCCCACTCCCACCGCCGCCTAAGCCTTCAGGCTCATTTGCCTGGAAGGAGGCAGGCCTGCCGCAGCCTCACCAGAAAGGCTCATTTGGAAAATGGAAATGAGTATCCTAACCGCATTTGTCACATTATCAGCGCTCATGACAGCCGCGCGGCACTATGCAAAGGAGAGATTTAGACCTAACGGGGAAAAATCGGTTAAAACTGACATATCCATTAGAAGATTTTAGAACTGAAAACATACTCTTCGCAGAGTGTTAGGATGACTTCTTAGGTGATGCTAAATCAATATCTCATACTTGGGAGGAATCCATTATTTTGTTTTACGAGAACCGTCTGGTTCCAAAATTCTCTCCTGGTCTGTCATTCCTAAACCGCCTAGGAAGGCCCAGATGAATCCTGCAATACATCAGCCATGGTTCCAACTTGAAACCCCCTCGAAAGGAGAAAAGATGAGGTGGAGGGCAGATGGTTTCAAGGTGCTCCCTCCTCACCAAGGGGCCGAGCTCTCCCAACCTGCGTCCTTGGCGTGACGCCATCTGGGGACCCAGCTCCCGGCTCCAGGCCCACGTCCACCTTCTGGGCCTCTGATCCATCAGGGCTGCAACCTCCTGCCCTTGCGGTTTCAGCTGCTCTGGTCGTCAACAAGCATGAGAGACAGTGGATCCCAGCGTGGGGCCGATCACACCGACGGAGGGGAGAGGGACTCCTGCAGGCCAGGAGGTGGAGGGACAGGACAGGGGCAGGGTCTGGAGAGGAGGAAAGGCAGGAGGACCCCCAGACCCAGCGGCCTCCTGGCCCAGCCCCCTGCCCCCACCCCCAGGGCTGCGGCCTGAACCTGGCAGCGGGCTGCGGTTAACGCACTTGACAGGAAAATGGAAAAGGTTTCCTTATAATTCTTCCCTCTGAAGGGATGTTTTCACTCATATCCAAGGTCTCACCGCATCGTTGGAACACAGGAGCCTAGGTATAAAATGTAAGCCTTTGTAGGAACCGTTTGTTTTGATAAGAATCAGCTTTCCAAGGGAGGCAGGGCAGGGCGGGGCTGAGGCCGGCTCTGGCTCCCATGTGCACTCGGCATGTCCCCGGCCTGCACCTGTTCACGCACCGTCTTGTCCCCGCATTGAGGACAGTCCTGCCCTCGCAGGGGCTGTGGGGGCAGGCGGCCGGGCCTGGCTCCCGGGCGGTGTGTGGTGGTGAGCTCTGGCCCCGGTTCTCACTGCTGTCTTCCACCTGCTGGCTGGGCAGTGACCCGAGGTTGGTGGCCTCCCCTGGCCGGCCCCGAGGCCCTGCGCAGGAGGTGGCGCTGTCTGATCGCCCCAGGGCGCCCAGTCTCCCTCTTCACACGGTGATCTCAACTGAAGCTGCCCCCCAGATGGAGGGGCCTTGGAGGCCCCTAGTTGCTGGGGTTCGGTCAGGCTGTCCAGACGGGCCCAGGAGCAGCTCGAAAAGAGAACGGAAGCTTGACTGTCACTGCACCACCGTGCCTCCTGCCTGGGCCCCCGAGTCCCATCCTCAAGGCCGCGGGCCCCTGGGTCTAAGGAAGAATGTAGGAGGGGAGATGGGAGCCGGAGAGACCCTCCCTTGGACGGGGGCCCGGGAGCGACTCGAGCCAAAAAGCTTCCGAAAGGCCCGCATGTGGGTCCTGCCCCGCACTGGGGCCTGCCCCGCGGCCTCAGCAAGGAGCGGGGCGCCCGTGAACCTGGACGGCCTCTCGGGGGCGGGCCCCGTGCACCGTCTGCCTCTGCTTCTGCCTGCCTCATTCACTGTCTGTCGGTGTTCCTCTTGCTTTTGTAAAGATGTCTGTATGTGTCTGTGGCTGCCGGTCTCCTTCGCTGCACCAGGGCCCTCTGAGTTGCAGAGGACGGGGCTGCTCCCGAGCTGTGGCGCACGGGCTTCTCGCTGAAGAGCCTTCTCCCGTGGCCGAGCGCTGGCTCCAGGATGCAGCCTTCAGCCGCTGCCGCCTGTGGACTCTGTAGCTGGGCTCCAGGCTCTGAGCTCGGGCTCAGTCGCTGTACGCAGACAGTTGCGCTGCAGCCCGTGAAGTCTTCCCGGACCAGGGATCAAACCCGTGCCTACTGCACGGGCAAGCGGATTCTTCACCACTGAACCACCAAGCAAGCCCTGAAGTATGTTTTAAATCAACAGAAATGTAACTCCCTCACAGCCCTGAGGTTGGAGCTTAAACTCAGGGAGTCCTGCAGGACCATGCTTCTCCGCAGGCTCTGGGGAGGGGGCCTTGTCCCGCTTCTGGGGGGCCGGCCGGCCCTGGCATCCCTGGCTCTGGCCACTGCGCTCCTGCCTCTGCCTCTGTCCTCATGTGCCTACCCACCGTGCTGTGATCTGAACCAAACCTCCCCCGGGTCCCTATAGGATGGCATCTAGGGCCACCTAGATGGTCCAAGATAAGCCTCTCCTCTCACGAGCCTATTCTTAATTTTTTTGGCCTCCCTGGGTCTTCCCTGCAGCCTGCAGGCTCTCTAGTTGAGGCCCACGGGCTTAGCTGTCCCATGACATGCCGGATCTTAACTCCCCAACCAGGAATCGAACCTGCATCCCCTACATTGGAAGGTGGATTCTTCACCACTGGGCCACCAGGGAGGTCCCATCAAGAACCTCGACGGCATCTTTTCCCATAGAAAGTAACAGTCATCTGTTTGCTGTGTGAGGTCCCAGCCCAGGAAACTGTGACCAGGGGACGAGGATGGGACCTCAGGGTGCGGAGTGGATGGGGGCCTCCCTGACTCCAGGTCAGCCATGGTGGGAGCCGCTGTTCACCCTGCATGAGCCTGTGCCTCCAGCCTAGGGGCGAAACCGCGATCGCATCGGTCCTCACTACCCGTCCGGCTCTGAGCCCCACCTCTGCGCTGGGGGGCAGGGATCCGATCCTGTCCCTGGGCCCCGACAGCCAGTGAGAGCCGCCACCACTGCCCTCGAGCTCTGCATACATCTGTCTCAGCCGTCCCCATTTGTGGCACCAGGGACCAGTTTCGTGAAAGATGAGTTTCCCACGGACTGGAGGTGAGGGATGGTTTGGGGGTGATTCAGGCAATTACATCTCTCGGGCGCCTCCATTCTGGTGGGGGCAATCTCAGGATATACTGTCCTGACTTTAGGGCTGGCGCTCACACTCCTGTGAGAACCTGATGCCGAGGCCGAGATGACGGAGGCGGAGCTCAGGTGGTGATGTGAGCGCTGGGGAGCAGCTGTAAGTCCAGATGAAGCTTCACGCACTCACCCGCCAGTCACCTCCTGCTCCATAGCCTGCTTCCCTGGGGGCCGGGGACCCCGGAAATGCCTGGAGTTCTTGCCCGGCCAACCAAGCCTGTCCCCCTGGGGCAGTGACCACCATGTATCCTAGCTGGCACCCCGGTATCCTCAGTGTGGGAGGGGGTGCCCTCACAGGACCTGAGACACTTGGGACCCAGCTGTGTGGGATGGGAGACCCCCTGGACCTCGCCGCCCGAACTACTGTCTGCCTCCTGCCCTGAGATGTCTGGAGAATCCCCGGTGCCCCTTCTCCCACCAATTCCAGGAGCTCCTGATGTCCCATCAGTAAACAGCCTCTGTCGGAGTCTTGCAACCAAACCCCCACCTGAGAGCAGTGCTGTCACCACCTTTGGGTTTCAGCTAGAGTTCAGTTCAGGTCAGTTCAGTTCAGTTCAGTCGCTCAGTCGTATCCAACTCTTTGCGACCCCATGGACTGCAGCATGCGAGGCCTCCCGTCCATCACCAACTCCCAGTTTGCTCAAACTCATGTTCATTGTGTCAGTGATGCCATCCAACCATCTCATCCACTGTCGTCCCCTTCTCCTCCCGCCTTCAATCTTTCCCAGCATCAGGGTCTTTTCCAATGAGTCAGTTTTTCGCATCAGGTGGCCAAAGTATTGCAGCTTCAGCATCAGTCCTTCAAATGAACATTCAGGACTGATCTCCTCAAGGATGGACTTATTGGATCTCCTTGCAGTCCAAGGGACTCTCAAGAGTCTTCTCCAACACCACAGTTCAAAAGCATCAATTCTTTGGCGCTCAGCCTTCTTTATAGTCCAATTGTCACATCCATACATGACTACTGGAAAAACCACTGCTTTGACTAGACGGACCTTTGTCTGCAAAGTAATGTCTCTGCTTTTTAATATGCTGTCTAAGTTGCTCATAGCTTTTCTTCCAAGCAGCGACTGTGCTTCAATTTCATGGCTGCAGTCACCATCTGTAGTAATTTTGGAGCCTGAGAAGTTAAGAGTAAATTTATCTTTTTTTTGCAACCTGAAGAGGCCCACCTAAAACGCCTGCCACGCGCTGGGAGCTGTATACAGCGGCGTCACCCTGTGCCTTGTGCTGCTGTCCAGGGCAGCACACGAGTACATGCACTGTTTTCCACTCTGACCTCGTGAGTCTTCTTACCTAAGACACCGACCTGGACCCACGTGAAGCGAGGGCCACAGCCCACCAACAGGGTGAGTTCTCACCAGCCCCAGGCCTGCATCTGAGTTACCTGCACCAGGAAAAAGGGATGACCTTCCTGTCTAATACATCTTTTAGTTACCCCTCCAAGGACGTGGTTTATACCCAGAACCTTTCAACAATGAACGGATTGATAAGGAGCCCAGTTCAGCTTCATCATAAACAACTGCAAGGCCATCTAGAAACTGGATGAGTTGGCCAAGGTTATTTGGGAGATCGTACGTGCATTTTTCCAGAAGCTCATGGGCACTTTCTGAGGTTCTAAGGACCTCACTCTCCCAGCCTGATGGACACACAGAGGGCGGTCACTGCAGCAAAGCCCATGTGGCTGCCTGCTTTATTAAAAAGCAGGAAGAGAATATCAGTGAATTGCAGAACACTAAACCTCCATGTCCCTCAGCGTCTCCTGAAGTTGCCCAAGTTCATGTGCATTGTGTCGGTGATGCCATCCAGCCATCTCATCCTCTGAAGCCCCCTTCTCCTCCTGCCCTCAACCTTTCCCAGCATCAGGGACTTTTCCAGTGAGTCAGCTGTTCGCATCAGATGACCAAAATACTGGAGCTTCAGCTTCAGCATCAGTCCTTCCGATGAGTATTCAGGGTTGATTTCCCTTAAGATTGACTGGTTTGATCTCCTTGCTGTCCAAAAGACTCCCAGGAGCCTTCTCCAGTGTCACAGTTTGAAGGCATCAATTCTTTGGTGCTCTGCCTTCTAAATGGTCCGGCTCTCATAGCCGTATGTGACCACTGGGAAGACCACAACCTCGACTCTCTGGACCTTTGTTAGCAGAGTAATGTCTCTGCTTGTCAACACATTGTCTAGGTTTGTCATAGCTTTCCTGCCAAGAAGCAATCATCTTCTGATTTCACGGCTGCAGGCACCATCCACAGTGCTTTTAGAGCCCAAGGAGAGGAAATCTGTCACTACTTCCTCCTTTGCCCCTTCTATTTGCCGTGAAGTGATGGGGCAGGATGCCACGATCTTAGTTGTTTTAATATTTAGTTTTAAGCCGGCTCTTTCACTCTCCTCCTTCACCCTCATCAAGGGGCTCTTTAGTTCCTCTTCTTTCTGCCGTTAGAGGGGTATCATTTGGATATCCGAGGTTGTTGAGGTTTCTCCCGCCTATCTTGATTCCAGCTTGTAACTGATTTCATTCCTTTTTATGGCTGAATAATATCCCACTGTATGGATGTACCCCATTCTGTGAGTGCATTCCTGTCTATGCACATGTCCTTCTCTCTTCCTGTGTGTGTACACGTCACGGGGACCCTGTATTCCTGCAACCCCTGGCTCCGTGCCCCCAGCACGCCTAGGGTGCCTTGCTTTCTCCTGGACTTGTGGGGCGGCCCCGCTGTGCCCTTGGCGTGGAGGTCCCAGCCGAGGCTGGGGGCCACGCCCGGCCCTCCGGTGTGCGTTTCTCGCCCTGCTGCTCGGCCACCAGCCTGGCTCTTCTGGGGCAGTCAAGGGGGCGGCCATCTGAGTGCCCTCCCCACGCGGCACTGGCCTCTGAGCAGGTTACAGCCTTGACGTAGGTTCTCCTCCTGATAGATGTCCGGCTTGTGTCTGTTGTTTGTGAGGATAAGCTAAGCAATAGCAAAAGGCTCCCCAGCCGTGGCAGCGTAGAGTAACCCAGGTCATCTCTGGCTTATGAATGGGTCTAGGCGAGCCAGGCAGCTGAGAGGGTCCCGGGCTGGCCCATCTCCTTCTACACCGGCTCTTCAGCCGCCCGGAAGGGGAAGCAAATGGTGACTGACTCTAGCACTTTGGCCCTTAAAACACCTGCCAGGAAGTGGCCCGTGACTTACCTTCACAAGGCCATGGCAGAAGTCAAAGCGGCATGCCACATGTGACCCTGGAAGTCTGGCCAAGTGGTGCCCAGGACTCCTCAGGTACAAGAGGCGACACCCAGCTCCTGCATGCTTGGCGCCTCTGGTTAGACAGAGCCAGGTTCATTCTGTCCAGCGTTTCTCTTTTATTGTCACTGAAGTATAGTCGCTAGACAATAGTATTAACTTACAGGTGTACAATATTGTTATTCATCATTTTTAAAGGTTATACTCCATTTATAGTTTTTATATAAGTGTTATTTATATAATATAGTTGTTTATATTATATAGTTATTCCCCATGTTGTACAATATATCCTTGTAGCTTATATTAATACTATATTATTATTATTTTTAAAAAGTTGCTGACCACTAGCTTATTCTCTAGATCTGTGTGTCTGCTCCTTTTCTGTTTTATTCACTGGCTTGGTGTATTTTTAGCTCTTTCTTACCAGAGCTGAGAAGGAATGCATCACTTTCCAAATATTGTATCAAGTTCCTTATGGCTTTTTTAAAAAATTATTTTATTGATGTATAGTTGATTTACAAGGTTGTGTTGATTTCTGATGTACAGCAAAATGCTTCAGTTATACACATATACACATTCTTTTTCATCTTCTTTTCCACTATGGCTTATCACAGGATATTGAATATAGTTCTGTGTGCTCGGCGATAAGAGCTTGCTGTTTATGCATTCTCTGTGTAAGTTTGCATCTGCTAACCCCAGTCCATCCCTCTGTCGCCTCCCTTCCCCTTGGCAACCACAAGTTTGTTCCCTGAGTCTGTTTCTGTTTCATAGATGAGTTTATTTGGGCTCCATTTTAGATTCAACATCAGTGATGTCATACGATATTTGTCTTTGACTGACTTCACTTAGTATGGTAATCTCTAGATCCATCCATGGTGCTGTAAAAGGCATTGTTTTATCTTTTATAGCTGCATAGTATCCCACTGTGTGTGTGTACAACATCTTTAGCCATTCATCTGTCGATGGACACGTAGGTTGTTTTCATGTCTAGGCTGTCATGTATAGTGCTACTATGAACACAAGGGTACATATATCTTTTCAAATTAGAGTTTGTGTCTTCCCAGGTGGCACCAGTGGTAAAGAACCTGCCTCCCAATGCACAAGACATGGGAGGTGATGGTTTGATCCCTGGGTTGGGAAGATTTTCTAGAGGAGAGCATGGCAACCCACTCCAATGTTCTGCCTAGAGAATCCGTGGACAGAGGAGCCTGGTGGGCTACAGTCCATGGGGTCACACAGAGTCAGACACATGAAGCAACTTAGCACGCACTCACACATGCCCAGGAGTGGGATTGCAGGACCATATGGCAACCCTATTTTTAGTTTTTTTAGGAACCTCCAGACTGTTCTCCATAGTGGCTGCACCAACTCGCATTCCCACCAGCAGTGTAGGGCTGTGGCCTTTTCTCCACACCCTCTCCAGCATTTGTCATCTGTAGATGTTTTAAAAATGATAGCCATTCTGTCTGGTGTGATGTGGTACCTCATTGTAGTTTTGTTTTGCATTTCTCTAATAATTAGTGATGCTGAGCATCTTTTCATGTGCCTATTAACTTCCTGTATGTCTTCTCTGCAGAAGTGTATTTAAGTCTTCTGCCCATTTTTCAGTTGGGTTGTTTTTCATTGTTGTTCTTGAGTATAAGAGCTGATGGTATACTTTTCATTGTTGTTGTTGAGTTGTATGAGCTGTTTGTGTATTTTGGAAATGAGTCTCTTGTCAGTTGCATCATTTCCAAATATTTTCTCCCAGTCTATATGGCCTATTTTTAAAGAAAGAGGCACATGTTAAGATACACCGAACACTTACATATTGCTCTGTCCGCTGCACTTGTCCTAGTCTCGTGGGTCTGGCTCACTGGGAAGCCCTCCATCCTCTGAGGACACTTACCGGGCGGTCCCCGAAGCCACATCTGGCCCACCCGATACAGCTTCCTGGACACTGCTGACCGCACAGGGGAGGGGAGAGATCAAACTGACCAGACTGCCCCCGGGTTCTTCGCCCTTCTTCCTTTTGGGCGAAGGACCCTGTGCGTTCCAGTTGACACGGCAACACAGCGGGCAGCTGCCGTGGACCGGAGCCGGAGGCCCCCCCGGGAGGCGGCTGCCACGCTGGGCCCTTGTCCAGCCCAAGACTGTCGGCCCATCTTCCGTTGTTGGGAATCACACTTGGCTTCCAGGACATGTGGCCCGGGGCCATAGGCTGGTGGCTTCCAATAACAGAAGTGTGTCCTCCCGCAGCTCAGGAGGCCCAAGCCCAGAAGCAGGTGTGGGCAGGGCCACTCTCCCTCTGGAGGCTCTGGGGGCGCACACTTCCTGTCTCTCCCTGCCACTGGTGGTTCTAAGTGGGCCCTGGGCTTCCTTCGTCACTCCAGTCTCTGCCTCTGTCCACACACTGCACGAGCCGCAGAGTCTCCAACACCTGTCATTGGACTGATACACATCTTTGCACGCTTAACCAATTATTTCCTTAGCCTCAGTTCCTAGAAGTTGAACTGCTGGACTTTTGACCGCATCCTCCAGTTGGCCCATTGGAAAATGGTGCAAGATCCCCAAACCACCATTACTGCCTGTCTCTCTCTTTCCCCCATCCCCCTCCCTGTGTCCCCGCCCCCTACTCCCCAGGTCCCCTCCCCGCTTCCCCATCCTCCTTCTCTTCTTGTCAGTCTTCCTTTTTCAATTCTCCTGGCTGAGGGGTAAGAAAGTTAATTTGCTGTTTTATTCGATGGTTTTTCATTTCTCCTTTGGTAAGGTTTTTTTATATTCTTTATCCTGTTTTTTCCTATTGAGATATTTAGGAACTTTTCTTACTAACTTGAGAACGTTTCTCTTTATTAAAAATGCCAACTCTTCGGTCCTCTGTATCTATCGTCGATATTTTTCCCTAGTTGAGACAAACTTTCTTCCTGTGAGACATTCTAGGAGAGGCGTGGGCATGAATCCTCGTTTAGGGACGCCAGGTGACGTAATGGACATGAATGTCTCTCACTGCAGCTTTCAGACCCTTCGGATGGCCGTTTTTTATATGGACCCTCTATAAAGTCCAGGGGAATAAGACTAAATCAGGAACAAGCGAAGACATTTTTATAAGAAACAAGGACATTGACGTCTGTGCCCATGGCTTTCCTCCCACATTTTTAAAAATTATAAAAGTAACGCACACAAGTACAAACATTAAATCTGTGTAGAAGGACGGATATGAAGTGAAAAAGAAATGTTTCCCGCCCCATTCCCTTTCTCAGGAGAGAACCATTTTAACAGTTTATGTTTTCAGATCTTGTTACCACCGTAATTCTAAATAAAATGCTTCCACTTCTGCCCCTGCACTTGTCAATTTTAAACAATTTCCATTTGGCTTCTCAGTATGAAAGAGAAGTTTAAGCCGTTTTGACTTCCTCCACTTCCACTAAATTTTGGTATGTCATTTATAGCCCTCCTGTGTTTTCACAGATGGCTTCGAATCCCACGCGTGGCCCAGCCGTGGACACACCCTCCCATCTCCCTTCTGTGTCAGAGGAAGAAGGGGGGCCCCTCTCTCCACACTGCCCCCCCAGCCTATGTCAGTGGTGTTCTGACATTTACACTGTGCCGCTGTCCTTTCTCCGCAAAAAGTCGTCAACACGTGCTAAATGCTGGCACCACTGGGTGGCAAACAATACAGACAATAGCTAACTTCCGAGTAGAGGGAGGCAAACCATAAGCAAACTTGCTAAGCAAAGTCTGCAGTGTAGCAGCTGGTGGTGAGCGCTCTGGAGAAAACTGAAGCCTGGAAAAGCGGGGCGGAAGCGAGGCGTTGCGATTTAATACACCGATGGCAGAGGGTTTTTATCACTTCCTCTCTGGCCTCAATCCTTCATCAGTCTCTCCCCTGTAACGGCCACTGTGTTGACTCTGTAATTCTATGGCCAGTAACATATATTATGATGTTATAAATACTATTCCTTTCCTATACCACTAAACCCAGCTGCCAGCAGGGGGATGATTCAGGACCCATGTTGAAACAGATGTACAATTTTTACAGGCTATCAAGCACTCCAGATCATGTCAGGATGCTTCATCTGAGCCCATGACACTCACTGGTAACTCTTTACCCTGGCATTGCTGGCTGCCTTTTTTCCCCCACATCGATGGAACAAACATGCTTTCCTCGCCACGTCAGGAAGGTCAGCCAACTTCCCTTCTGTGGGTTAGAACTGGCTGTTCTCCAGGCCCTCAGACTAGAATTTATTTTCATGTTGCACATTTGGGTTAACACCACTATTTTCTTGAATCCTAGTTCCTTCTTTTTCTTGAATTCTTTCTATTGTTGCTGTTGTTGGCTTTTTGGAGTGCATCCTCAAGCACGTCTTTCTCAGACAGGGCACAAAAGGAGAATTAATAGATCACTTCTCCCAGATTTGCGTATCTGGGAGTTCTGTCCCCTAATGTAATTGCTTGTCTGGCTGAGGACAGATTCCGAGTCCAAAACATGCTCCTCGTGACTTTCAAAACATGCTCCTCGTGACTTTAAAGTCCAACTCCGCTGTGTTCTGGGACCCACTGTGACTGACGGGAGCCTCTCGCTGGGTCCCCTGTGGTTAGCCTCGCCCCTCCCTCTCTGAGCACTCCAGAGATGTGTTATTCTTTGATATCCTGAAATTCCACCAGACTGGGACCGAGTCTGAGTCTCCTTTTGAGTCTCACAGGACCAGCAGGGTTGGCGGGCCTGAAAGGTGACCACAGCCAGTCTGACGGTGAGAGTATCTGTGCAGGGTGAACAGACTCATCCTGGGTGTGGGCGGCTGCTAGGCTGACTGCTCCCAGGAGGGGTAAGGAAGAGGTATTTTTTTCACTCATTTATTATTTTTTAAATTAGTATTTTATATTGGAATGTACTTGATTAACAGTATGCAAGTTTCAGGTATGTGGCAAAGTGATTCAGTTATACACATACATGTATCTATTCTTTTTCAAGTTCTTTTCTCATTTAGGTTATTACAGAATAGTGGGCAGGGTTCTCTGTGCTATACCTATACATATAGGTCCTTATGGGTTACCTGTTTCAAAGACAGCAGTGTGTATATCTCATTCCCAACCTCCCGGTCTCTCCCTGCCCACTGCCCTCCCCCCCTGCTAACCATAAGTTCATTCTCTAAGTCTGTGAGTCTGTTTCTATTTTGTAAATAAGTTCATTTGTATCTATTTTTAACATTCTTCATATAAAGGTTACCATATGTTTGTCTTTCTCCAACTGACGTACTTCACTTAGTGTGATAATCCCCAGATCTGTCCATGCTGCTGCAAACGGCATCCCTCCACCTTTCAGATGGCCGAGTGACAGTCCATTGTGTGTGTATGGCATCTCCTTTGTTCATTCCTCGGTCAATGGACAGAAGTTGCTTCCACGTCTTGGCTATTGTGAACAGTGCTGCAATGAACACTGGGGTGCTTATATCCTTTTGAAACATGGTTTTCTCAGATATATACCAGGAGTGGGACTGCTGTATCAAATGGTAGTTCTATGTTTAGTTTTTAAAGGAACTTCTATATTGTTCTCCACAGCGGCTATAGCAATTCGCATTCCCATCAATAGTGTGGACTTCCCTGGTAGGTCAGCTGGTAAAGAATCTGCCTGCAATTTGGGAGACCTGGGTTTGATCCCTGGGTTGAGAAGATCCCCTGAAGAAGGGAATGACTACCTATTCCAGTAGAATTGCCTAGAGAATCCCATGGAGAGAGGAGCCTGGCAGGCTACAGTCCATGGGGTCACAAAGAGTCAGACACGACTAAGCGACTAACTTTCACTTTCTTTCACCAATAGTATAGGAGGGTTCCCTCTTCTCCACACCCTTTCCAGCATTTACTGGTTTTAGACTTTCTGATCATGGTCATTCCAACTGGTGTGAGGTCATATCTCATGTAGTTTTGACTTGGGTTTCTCTAATAATTAGTGATGCTGGGCCTCTTTTCATCTGTCTGTTGGCCATCTGTATGTCTTCTTTGGAGAAATGTCTATAGAGGTCTTCTGCTCATTTTTTAATTTTCATTTTTTTTTATGTTGAGCTGCATGAACTGTTTGTAAATTTTGAAAGTTAATTCCTTGTCAGTCACATCATTTGCAAATATTTTCTCCCATTGTCTTTTCATCTAGTGTATGGTATCCTTTGCTTTGCAAAAGCTTTTGAGTTTAATTAGGTCCTATTTATTTACTTTGTTTTTATTTCCATTACTCTAGGAGACAGATCAAAAAGATATTGCTATAATTTATCTCAAAGAGTTATTCTGCATATATTTTCCCTTAAAAGTTTTATAGTATCCAGTCTTACACTGAGGTCTTTAATCCATTTTGATTTTATTTTTGTGTATGGTGTTAATGTTCTAATTTCATTATTTTACATGTAGCTGTCCAGTTTTCCTAGCACTACTTATTGAAGAGACTGTCTTTTCTCCATTATATAGTCTTGCCTCCCTTGTCATAGACTAACTGCCCATAGATGTGTGGGTTTATTTCTGGCTTTCTATCCTGTCCCATTGATCTATGAATACATGTCTGTTTTTGTGCCAGCGCCATATTGTTTTGAACCTGTAGCTTTGCAGCGTAGTCTGGGGCCAGAGCAACAGATTCCTCCAGTTCTGTTTTCTGTCTCAAGATTGCTTTGACCATCAGGGACTTCTGTGTCTCCATACAAATTTTTTTTAAAAATTGGTCTAGTTCTATGAAAACTGCCACTGGTAATTTGATAGGGATTGCATTGAATCTGTAGATTGCCTTGAGAAGGAGAGAGGAGGTACTATTTGTGGTAAAAGGAGAGCTGCAAAGCCTAAGGCAGCTCTGATTTTGTATCCGTGTGGAGGTCTCCCATGGCAGGGGGCCCTGGCTTTCACCACAGCACCCGCACACTCTGTTCCCTTGCTGCCCACAGCATGTTCTCCTGCTCACCCAGGATGAGTCAGCAGCCCAGGGCCCTAGCTGGGATGGATGCCAGACCAGCCATGCCCAATGAACAAAGTGTGCTACCCAGGAGGAGCTCAGACCACGTGGTCAAGCCCATGACACGTCATGTGAGCAGCTGTGAAGTCAGGGATGTTTCAGAGGGAAGGTGCCATCAGGTGGCAGGATTGGAGCTGTGACAGTTACCACTGGTACCTGATGTTTGCACTGCCAAGGTCCCGTGGGATGTTGCAGGTCAGGCCAGCGAACCCTGA